CGTGCAGCCCACGCACGTCCTGCAGGAGGGTGCGTACGGCCCGGCCCGCAGGGAGGCAGGGGCGGCGCTGTGGGGGGGACGAGAAGGGGTCGGTGCGTCTGGTGGACGATGGGGAGAGCACCTGGGTGGGGTGCCAGCCCCCCAGGATCGCCCTGGAGTCTGCAGGAGTTGGATACAAACCTCCAGGAGACTGCTACCCGGGAGAGAAACCAGAGGGCATGCATTAACATTAATATTATTAAATGTTGAATCGGATGTATCTAGTAGTTCTGCCGGTGTCTAAAATGTAGTAGTAATGTGCGTGTGCCTTCCTGGTGTCAAGTCAGTAATGTCATGAGGTCAGGTGATAACAGCTGCGGGAATGGACCGAAGGAGAGTTGGTAGCCCTATGCCTAGGGTTGTTGGTTGTAGCCATGTTGGTCTAAGGACGTGGGCAGACGAGGTTCTTGGGGTCAGTAGGGTATCTTTTATTAGGGGTACAGGTAGCTGCGTGGCTTGTTGGCTTCTTGTGGGCTCAGATCAGGCGTAGTCTGTGCTTACCTAGGCGAAATACCATGATCACCACCATGGCTTCCGAGTCGCACCCGGGAAAGACCGCTTTGCTGGCATAGGGTAGTACCCGTGTAGGTAATGCACAGTTTACCTGGGCTTTATGCCCACTTTATGGAAATGCGAGACTCCTCCCTAGCTTGCTCCTGGGGCCTTATAGCTAAGGGCAAGCAAGACTCAGGGTCCCCAAGTCTCTGGGCTTGGGCCTGCAAGCAGGATGCCCGCCAAAGGATTTGGGAACATCTGAAGCCCCAGGTGGGGGTGGAGGATATTTGCCGATAGTAGGGCAACTTTGGGTTCTGGACTGACTCACGGATTTGGAAATGCTTTGGCCAATTTGGCTTGGAATACAAAAATTATGAAAAAACAAAAACAGGTTGTCGCCATGTTGGTCTGCAACCCTTGGGGAGGCAATATCTTTTACTAGACCACCTAGATCGTTGCAAAAAAAATCACTTCCCCAAGAGTTGTGATATCTTCTATTAGACCAGTTGGATTCCACACATAACAGCATATGAAGAAATGCCAGACTCTCCCAGTGCCTGAAGAAGGGTGTTTGTACCTGGAAACTTGCAAAGAACAATTTTCCAACTCTTTAACTGGTTTAATAAAAAATATCATATTCACCCAAATAACCTTGTCTGTAGAGCACCTAGGTGCAAACACAGCTGGGCTTCCAGGTAAGCACTGATCCAGTAGGGAGCCCGGGGCACTGAGCCTGCCAGGAGCAGTTGCCCCTATACACAGGCACACCAGCCGTATAGGCCATTTTGCTGGTATTCATGTGCCCCTGCAGGGTCCTTCTGCACCTAGTGCTCTATGCCTTGAATGAGTTAGTCTATAAGGTGCTGCCCTGCGCTGCTGCCTCATGCGTGTCTCACTTGCACACAGGGACAGCGCACATCTGTCTCAACATAGGGCAGTGCACCTGCATGGCTGCCTGTCAGAAGTTTGTACGTATTGCCTCTGTGTTTTTGTGTGCCCACACCTCTTGGACATTTACTGCAGTTCTTGTTTCTACATCTAATATCAGCCATATAGGCTGGGGTGCGTTTATATGCATTTTAATGCATACCAGGATAGTTTCTGGTTGCGTTGTTGGTATTTGCTGTATATAGTCTTTAAATATAAAGAATGGCAATTATATTGGCATCTACTTCACTGATGTCTGTTACCTGATCAGCAGAGTCATAATGGCTGCATCAAGTTGTATGTTTGTAGTGAATCTCTGTAGAGCACGTAGGCACAAACTTGTCTTAGTTTCCAGATTAGAGACCTGATTCTTTTCTGCCTTGGTCTTATCTGGCCTTTTACAGCAGTGCAAAGAACAAATAAAATGTCACAACCTCAAGTCAGTGGAGAATACTGATTTTGGTAATGGTTTATACCACAACATGTAAACAGCTGCTCCGGATATTGGGTAGTGGAAGATCAGGCATATTAGGTGTATTGAAGGAAATTATGAATCGGGTGTATTGGAGGGAATTATGTTACTAGATGTAGAAGACAAACATTTTCAGTGCTCTTCAGAATCTTAATTTTTCATCTCTCTGTGGAAGTGACAAAGAAAATAATACTTTCCTTGAGCTAGTCAAATAAAAACATTACTTTGTTGTCCCGTGGGAAGCAGGCAAATCAGTGGCTGGGGATGACTGCCAGGAATTGTGTGGTTTTCCAGTTTGTCAGGGTTGTTACAGGAAGCTTTTTCACTAATGGGCAATAGAATCTGCACCCAAGGAGAGAATTCTCTATCAGTCAACAGCAATTTGGACCAGACAGGATGATAATCTTCTATTGAGTATATGGTTATGTCTGTCCCTTCACGTCTTAAGAGAGATTAATGCAACTATATGCATGTATACTCAGTATTTCGGCTATTTTTTGATGACAAAGGTAAGGAAAATCTGAGACTTACATTTCGGTTCCCTCTCCCATACTGAAAGAATCCAGCAGATACAGGCACACATTTGTTTATAGATATGTTTTCTCTGGTTTGATCCTAAAGCAAAGGAAGCAATTAACGTTACCCTTCCTCAGCAGTTAAAGAAATTCTATTTCTGATGTTTTTTAATTGTGAAGATTTCTGAGAGAGCCAGATACCCTTTTTTCTTCTCTTATGGCACTAATGTACCCTTTTTTATAGTATGGAAATAAAAGCAACCATAAGAAATAGTGTTGTTTTATTTGTGATATATTTTAAAACATCAGCATGGATATAGGCCAACCTGGATTGCTGTAGCACTGACTATTTCAAAATTATCTAGTTGTTTTACTGCATGATATAGGGTAGGTTCTTCAGTTCATTTTGATAAAATCAAAATGAAACTCAAGGTAACTCTTTCTTTTAGGTAATATTTATAAAATGTACAGGAGAAATATTTGATTAAAGTTAGAGTTAAAAAATCCTTGAGAGCAGTACAGTTTTTCCTCCTTTTGAATAGGTCTTCATTACAGAAATGAGTTGTTAGTTGATAGTAAAGGTTTATGTGAGCTGCTCACTACATATAAGAAACAACATTTTTATCTTACGAAAGTGTAAATGAGTCATTCAGGTGTGTTAAATTTTATTACAAGTTCGGTAGTCACCTATTGACTACTGTTTTTTTGTTTTGCTTTGTTTGTTTGGCACCTTTGTAATATGCCATCTAGTGTTAATTTATTCTGTTTCAGCTGTTTCTCATCCTCTTGTCTGAATTTGTTGTCAAAACCTGAATATACACTTACTCCTTTTATCTGAATGACTAGATTTTGTTTGTTCTATTTTATTTTATTTTAAATGACAGTGCTGACTTTCATTCCTTGAACTGTTTTGACAGGGAACTATTTGCGGTAACTTTTAGGATGTTGATCTTTATGTTGTTTATGAATTTCTTACAAGATTGAACTGCAGACTTTCAAAGCTAAAAAACAAAACAAGAAAAACCAGCAGCACTTTGCAAAATTTATGAAACATCTGAATATGGGTACTAAAATATAGAAGGTCATATTAAGCATTTTACCAACCCTGGAAATGCTTATAGGATCTTAGAATTAGAAATAAAAATGCTCATTAGTCACCTACTCTTGTCTTCCTGCCAGTGCAGAATAAGTTCCTAACATGTTTATCTTATTACTTGAAGACAAGGAAGGAGTAGCTATCCCCTGGTTTTTATGGACTAGCTGGAGAAATTGATGGGCCTGATTGATAGACGCTCTGAGCCATGAAATAACTGACCTTCAGCTAGTTATTTCTTATAAGCCATAGAGGTGTCAGGCAGTTTTCTTTATTGAAATGCATGTTGCTTGCCCTTTTAAAGATCAATACAGTGAGTGATTCATAAGAAAATAAAGTTTTTATTCAGTTTCCTGTTAGGTTTCAAAATTACCCCACGTAATTTCAGGAATGAGTTGGAAATTAGGAATATGTAGAGGAGTAGGAAGAACTACTAGATAGATATGGGCATCTATGGTTGTGTACCAGATAATTGCAGCTCCTACATTGGCTTTAATCAGTAAGTGCTTAGCATGTGTGTGTGAAAAGGTAGGGTGAAAAGGTGAACAGTTTCTGATATACCTTTTAACCAGGGATGAAATTTTAGATATTAAGACTTTCATTGTTAGAACTTAAATGATTCTAAATGTTAGTCACTATTGGCAATGATCGTATGAAGTTCTAGTTGATATTCACATCCTTTTGATGTTTCAAATTTTAGGAGCTAAAATTATCCATGCTTTGTCTGTCCCTTTACTTCTTAAGTACCTTTAAAAAAACTTTAACCTATTCTAGTGGTGGTCAACCTTCTGGTCCCGCAGGCTGGATGCGTGGCACATGAGGCTCAATCACACTAAACACTGGCCTGATCTGGCATGGTGGGCCATGTTATCTGGCCAGTGGGGCTTCTCAGGGTCTGGGATTTTTACAGCAAGGGTGTGGCAATTAACACTGCCACCGCTTTTCCATGTTTCTGCTGGGTGCAGCAATTCCACTGCTTCCACCATGTTTCTGGACCTTTGAGGAGCTCCACAGGCTAGATGACAGCTCCATGGGCCAGATCTGGCCTGTAGGCCCAGGGCTGGGCACCCTGATCTATTCACTTTTTAACACTATGAGAGCTTGTTGAAAGGGTGAAAACTCATTTCCCATGTGTTTGGGTGATAATTTTTGCCATTCCATAGTTCAAACAATTGAAACAAACATTACTTTTTTTCCTTCAAACAAATGCTCGAAAACAGCTCAGTTGTTGCAAGTAAATCTATTATATTAAAGTAAGATTTTTCAAAAATACATTTTCATGTGCATGTTAAAATGTGTCATTTTTGCATTATCTTTGCGTTTTCTTTGTTCTGATAAGAACACTACCCACATCTCTCTTTACATATTCCTACCGTTAAAGTTATATTCAAGTACAAGAACTAACCTTGTATATCTTGAATGGTGAGAGAGCAAGCACAGAAGAATCAGAATATTAAGTTTCTAACAGCACCAATGTAGCCATTTTCATGTTTGTAGTATACTGATATTTATATATGGAAAATAATAATTTTACTGTCGAATAAGAAGTGCATGGTATAATATACAATATGTGCAACAAAGCATGGTTAGTAAGGGTGCACCGATAAGAGATTTTTGGGGCAGCAGGCCTGGGAAGGTGAGGGTGGGCCGGGGGGGCCTTTGGGGGGGGGGGGGGGGGGGCCCACCCCCACACAAAATTTGCTATACCTCCCCAAAACACCCACCCAGCACTGCTTCCCGGCCCGGTCCGGCCCAGCCCTGTCAGGAAGAGCCGGGCTGAGCCCTGACCGCAGATCGCCCCGTGCAGATCTGGGGGCAAACAGCCCCCACCCCCCAGGCCTTCCCAGGGTGCATGCAGCAGCATGAGCTGTGCCCCCCAGATAAGCCACAGCTCCATCCCACGCCTGCCCCAATCCCAGCCCCACTCCCTCCCTTACCTTAGAGGCCTTGATCTGCCCCCCCACATCCCTTTCCTTTCCCCTCCCCTTCTACCACAATAGACTTACTAGCTGGACACAGCTGGATACAGTTCTCCAAGCTGCTGGGCTTTGCTCCTCACCGCCTGTGTGCTGCACTGTGGCTGCACGCCACACAGGCCATTTATCAGCCAAATTATTGGCCACATCTGATTTCCGATACAGTCAGTTTTCTTTATGTCAGCGCTGATCTGATATTGGACTGATGTATAGGTGCGCCTCTAATGGTTAGCATTCCATTCAAATTAGAACTCTTAGCTCTTTGAATGTTCTAGCCTGGATATGTTCTTTGTCAACTATAACAGTTCATTGAGGTTAGCTTTTGTATTTAGAAAAATCACATAGTCTCTGAAACTTCTAGTGCATTTTCACTTTTGTCATCCCATCCAAAATTTAATTTTTAGCCTAATTGGCCTTTTCTATCCTTTTTTTTCTGCTGCTCCTGATATATCTCTTGTTTTTCCTCAGGGCTACGTGGGTGTAGGTTGTAGCCATGTTGGTCTAAGGATATAGGCAGCCAAGGTTATTTGGGTGAATCTGATATTGTTTATTAGACCAACTTAAATAATTTTTAGTATTTAAGTTGGTCTAATAAAAGATATCAGATTCACCCAAAGAACCTTGTCTGCCTTTTCATAGAAGTAGGGTCGGAAGGGACCTTGTAGATCTTCAAGTATGACCCCCTGCCTGGGCAGGAGGAAAACTGGGCTCAATTGACCCCAGTCAGGTAGGCATCAAGCCGCCTCTTAAAGACCCCCAGAGTAGGAGCCAGCACCACTTCCCTTGGAAGTTGGTTCCAGATCCTAGCCG